ACCCCCAGGTGCCCCCAAGTCAGCTGCTGCTGAAACTGATCAGTGGCTGATTCCAGGAAGCCCAGGGCAGATCAACTCTGCCTCGGGCTTCCTGTAGTCAGCCGCTGGTCAGTTTCAGCAGCGGCTGAATCTGGACGCCAGTTTCGACTTACATACAAATTCAACTTAAGAACAAACCTACAGTCCCTATCTTGTACGTAACCCGGGGACTGCCTGTATTCCACAGATGAATCAACCATTTACCATTTTAGGCTCACAACTCAGCTTCCATCATTCTTGCCCTCGGGCTTCCTGTAGTCAGCCGCTGGTCAGTTTCAGCAGCGGCTGAATCTGGACGCCAGTTTCGACTTACATACAAATTCAACTTAAGAACAAACCTACAGTCCCTATCTTGTACGTAACCCGGGGACTGCCTGTATTCCACAGATGAATCAACCATTTACCATTTTAGGCTCACAACTCAGCTTCCATCATTCTTGCTGATTTCTAAGAGGTACTCTGTGTCCTTGTGACAGCAAGATTAGACGTTTGCAATACTGTGCCAGTAGAAGCCTTTCTGATAAGACACTGCCTCGGTCCCAGCAAACTCTAAATTCAGCAGCCAGGCTTATCACCGCCCAACCATCATACATGTAATGTATGCTCTTTTACAATCAATGTAAGAGTTTATATGGTCTTGACCCTTAACACTTGATATCTCATTTCCCATTTAATAAGCCACAGTTGGATATCTGCTGATGTAGGTCTTCTCACTGTTGTTCTGCTATAATTCCTCTCTCAAACAATATGGATTCTAGAGCTTTTAGCTATTATGTGTAAAGTTACTAAATTCTCTTTCCTCAGCAGTTCATAGAGTAGTCAATTAAATAAAACATATATTTGTCCTATTTTGTTTTTTTCTCCTTCTTGGTTTTAAAACTCAAAAACACTTTAATTTACATAATCTGTGCAATGCTATGAGGTACACCTTAGTATAAAGACCAATATGTAAGTTAATTGTATTTTTATTCATTCAAAGAGGAACATCTCTAGTTTCAATCAACATACATCCTGTGGACTTCAAGTTTTAGAAACTCATATAGCATCTCCTTCTATAGTAGCGAGAGCCCCGTATATTTTACATGACAATGGGATCAGACACTGTAGCAAACACCTTTAATAGCTGCAGGATTATGAATTTATTGCATCTCTATAATAATCTTCATTTCTGTTCCATACAATTCCAAACATACATTATTGTGTGTCAGTTTAAAATAGTCAGTCATATAATATTTGTCAGTGATTATTTTCAGCAATGATTATTTTTTGATTTTTTTTTCTTGGCTGTGTTCTCCACATGCTGTGACAGGGGAAATTATAGCAGGCTGAGGGGTTCATCCTCTCAGTGTTCCATGCCTTGGCTGCTGCTTTATGCTCTAGGTCCTGGTTCTATGACCCTTTCCCAGTTGCTTCTACAAAACAAGTGAAGAGCACATACACTATAATCTAATTAATCATCCTTTGTGGGGAAAGTCACGGAAGAGGCCA